TCGTTTGGAAATGTTCTCTTTATTATGAAGTTAAGATACCATCATAAACAATGACGACAACATGTTACGGTGTCGGAACAAATTCTTTGTAGCCTATGATATGGTAATTGTGTTATAAATTGTATTGTGCTGTTGTTTTTCCACTTCTAAACACTGTCTCCCGCAATACTCTAATTATTCGTGGCAGTTTGATGCTATGATTGTCATTGAATGACAAGTTTTCTAACTAGATATTACCGTGGAATACTCTCCAAAACGTCAGAGACTCCATACACGCCAACCTGACGCTCGTGCTAGTCGATATGACTACAAACTTATCTAAATTGTACGACAGCAGTCCCAGTGCTTATCTTATTGCAGTGACCAGTTTTGATTATGTTCTAGACCCTCTGTGTTTGTACTACAACATTTTTAGCCTGGTAGTTGTGCTGATTTGTCATCCATTGGTGCAGGGAAGATATTTGTGATACTGCCGACGGTAAAGGCTTCCATGCGAACATTTTATATCTGTGACTATATACACGTAATTCATGTAATTTGTTCCTTATTTGAAACAAAAACCTTCGTTTCGATATGATTCGACAGGAGATACATGAACGTATATGTAAATCAGTGCAACGCTGTCCAAATCGTGACAAAGGTGTTCACAGCATTTCATCATTTTGATTGATGTCATCAATTCATTGATTTTTAGCATATTCTGAATGCCTTCAATTCCTCTTTAAAACAAAGCAAAAAGTATACTATAAAAAAGTGAAAGCAAGGTCCACCAAGAATTCAAGAGAAATTATACTATCTTGGCACGGCTTGCATAAAATATGGGTGATTATGGCGATATTCAAATCAACACTGATTGATGTGTGTATTCCTAGTTACTATACTGCGGTGATCTATGCAACATCCATCGCTGAGTTTAATTATTTTTTCAGGTTTCAAAAATGCATCTGTAGTGTATCAATTTCTAGAGTAACTTCAGTTTTGATCACCAGTCGAATTTTGTTCGAGAAATTTAAATGATAAAAAGGAATGCAATCGATTACATGTGTGTACTTTGCTTTAATCGATATTTATTTTAAACAGTAACAGTGACCACTTGTAAGATTTACATTTCAAAGGCCTGATACATGTAAAAGAAAAACACAAAAGTGAAAAATTAAAGAGATATTCTTGAGTATGACGCAATATAGATTCACTTTGGCATGTGGCTGATAAATTGGTAATATGGAAAGACCATGTTATGAAGCAAACTCCTGAAGTGATGTGTTGTTATCGAAGACACTGCCGGATATCCACGACAGTTACGGTCCCTTACGTCTGATGGTAGATATTGATAATGAAAATCACATGTGGAAATTGTTTGGACATTTATCTCAAACAGTGTAAAACAGTATTTCGGTCCTCTCTCAACGCATTCTGTCCAAGTCTTCAAGTTTACATGTCCGAAAGGGAAAGCCTATGGGAGCGTATTCAACACACTGCAAGGCTCGGTTACGACGGTTACTTACTATGTTTACTGACGACAATATCTACTATGTTTACTTACGACAAATATCTACTATGTTTACTTACGACAAATATCTACAATGTTTACTTACGACAAATATCTACAATGTTTACTTTTGACAAATATCTACTATGTTTACTTACGACAAATATCTACTATGTTTACTTACGACACATATCTACTACGTTTACTTACGACAAATATCTACTATGTTTACTTACGACAAATATCTACTATGTTTTAACTTTCATGTACCTTTCTTTTACACACGGAGGTTACACCGAAGTGAGGGTGAAAAGAATAACACCGTCCATTATATTGATTTGAAAACACGGTGTAAGGAAGTATTGTAGTTTTGAAAGGACTCTATAAGGCAGTGACTACTGGCAATTGGTCTGGGGTTGTCGGACAGCAAATTGGCCAGTTAATATACGTGTGTATTTTAGGAAAGGTATAACATGTGGTTTTCGTTTTTTTTTTTTTTTTTTGTAACTATCAATTATATCAAAGCCCGCCTTCCAGTTTTAATAAAATATCATTGATCTGCCTGCCTTATATGTTTTATCACAGTCCGTTTATTTGAAATGATAAAATGTTCACTTTGAAGATGCAAATGAGATCGTTTTTTCCTTTTGTTTTATTTAAATTAAGCCAAACAATCTTTCTCATTTTTGTGGGATTATATTTTAGCTTGATATAACAAAAAAGTAACGAAACTAACAATGGTTTGAAAATATTTATTAAATTCCAAAAATTTCAAAAGAAACGTCATATAGAGAGACGCATTCAGATTGTGTCTCACCCTAAACCAAGTGTCAGATTGATCTTAAGGTACCATGTGTCTCTGCTACGTGAAACGTACCCGATCATTTATATAGGAAATGTAGAAAAAGTAGCAAAGACAACCGCTTAATAGGAACAAATTTTATAAGAAAAATATCGTTACAAATTATCCATCAAATTTTAGCCCGGACGGAATGAACATCTAACTTTCATATGGTTCTACAAGTCAGTCTTCCTTTTCCTTCTAACATCAATAACATGGCTTTACGGCTTCAAATACAATTTAAGTCAGACACAGTAAAAATGGTAGTAATGTGAAATCGATACTGAGCTGGCATTCAATCACGATTATTACCCTGGTTTCACATGTTAAGGACAGTTGTGATGTGTCTTCGTGATGTCAGCAATGTCCCGGTAATCATCATCCATGGGTCCATTTGAGTGTTTTGGTTTATTTTGAATATTTCTTAATTAATTTGACGAGGTAGACGGTACTGTCATTACATTTGGTTAACTCTCTTCAAAATTCTCCCAAAAGATTATATTACTTTTTAAACTTTTTACGGAATGACAATAAATAAATGTACCTTTTCCGGAGTGTTTACTTCAGGAATGTGACATCAATAAAATAAAGGTTGATCGATTCCTTACCATGCTCAATCATCTCGTACACTACATACGTCAGTGTTAGGCTGTTCCACACTGGTCATTTGTCTGATGAAGGTGACCGTGAAGTCATCGAAACGTCACACTCTAATCTTCTTCTGGTTGTGTTATAAGATGAAGGTGACCGTGTAGTCATCGAAACGTCACTCCGTAATCTTCTACTGGTTTTGTTATAAGATGAAGGTGACCGTGTAGTCATCGAAACGTCACACTCTAATTTTCTTCTGGTTGTGTTATAAGATGAAGGTGACCGTGCAGTCATCCAAACGTCACTCCGTAATCTTCTACTGGTTGTGCTATAATATGAAGGTGACCTTGCAGTCATCCAAACGTCACACTCTAATCTTCTACTGGTTGTGTTATGAGAAATTTTATCTTATTATCATACCCAATGTTAAACAAAATAACCCTCATGGTTTCATAACCCGATGGTTAAAAACAATTGAATTGCGTGTGTTGGATTTATAACCAGAACTTTTTATTCAAAACTTTGATACCTCCACGAAATATTATAGACATATATCACCGCATTAGGCTCCCAGGTCGCCAGGTTTGGAACTAATTTTGCTCTGGACGGCGATTTTTTTTTTTTTTTTTTTTGTCATTTACCGAATACGTTTTAACAATGCGGAAATGTATCTGTAAACGAGGAAAAATTAAAACTACTGAAGTGTTAACAGGGTTTTGTATGTCGATGGGTCTTATGTCTTTTGTACTCAACCGAATCAGGGACATGAAGCTTTTTTTTTGAAATAGTAGGATTAAAGTTTTTTCAGTACAAAAAAGAAATAATGTTGTTTTCGCTCAAATATGAGTCTCTTTTTTTACAACGACTTTTTGCTATAGCTTAGAAAATTAGACCAGCAGCCGTAAATGTTAATCGATAAATCAATATTCTTCGACAATGTCACCGCGGGACGAACGCGTGGTTTCTCCATAAAAGCCTTTATGCTTCTGTCATGATATAAACAAAGTATAACGGAACTATGCCCTTTTCTTCCTGATTAAATCAGCTTTCAAATACAACCTTGCAACTAAGCAGATAATGTTTTTATTCCTTTACCACTTAATACAGGAATTAATTTTGAAGTTTCCTGATCTATACAAATGTATCTATGGCGTCTAGACTTCATTTTCTTTAGCAGAGAATTACATTTCATAATAACATATTAGTATATTCATAATTTCCATGAAAGACGTATTTGATTTTTTTAATTTGCGTCAACAATTTTGTAAATTCTATCGTAGAAAAGTTGTTTGGAAATCGAAAGAGGCAATTGTTGTTGTGCTGGTATCCTCAATTCTCAATAAACGTAACACCATTTTATTTTTGCATCAAATTGAGTACCAATAAAACGAAATCAACAAGGACAGCTGTGGTAAATTCAAATTCCCTATTGTAAATTTTCCATTTCTGGAGAACAATACCCCAGCTTACTTATAACTGATTGTAATGCCAACTGATTGTTATGTTAATTTCTGACAAAAATCAGCAAAGCCAATTAAGACCTTACAACAGAATCTCAAGTCAAAAGAGGGCAGGGGTTTGTCAGAGAAATCCCTGGAATCAACACAGGGCGTAGTAGAGGAAACTTGTTCAAAAGGAGAAAAATAAGTGCTCACAACTTTTTAAAAATTCTACAATTACATGCATCCTCATGACAAAGTAGTTCAATGGGACATTCTATACTAGATTTTAAACAATGATAGAGTATTTACCGCTTTGTCGTTAATTCTCCGTTCATGCTGGATCATTGCTTTACGTTGTGGTTTACAGAAAACCATTTTGTGTTAGACCAGATACGTATGAACAACCTGATAATGTTGAGCGGTTTGATTTTTGCCGTCATGGTAGATTGCTAACAGAGTTGCTCCGATGCCATGTCTAAAATCGCCTCCATTTCAAAAGAGCTACTACTGTTGAGGTATAATGAATTATCATCTTTTACAACAGCCAAAAGTTTATCATTTTCGAAAGATTCTACTTTTGCTGCAATCGGGGATGTAATAAAACAACAACAACAACAACAAAAACAACAACAACAACAACAACAACAACAAATACGGATTAAACGATAAACCGTGACAACCATGAAAATACGTCCTGTTTGATTCGATATATTGGTAATACCGCGTAAACAGTAATCATATAAATGACATGCAACAGGAGTCGACAGGTCGATATCTGTACTTTGTATAGCATGTGAACATGTATATGTTATTTCGGTAGTCAACCACTGGTCGATGATAAATGTCTGTTGTATAGTACACATGTCTCTCCGTCGATATCAAACCAAGGGATTACGACAAAAACGGATTTGTCAGGCTTCTTCTAGATACGATGTAAAAGGTTGTGTGTGGTAGACAGTCTGATACACACAGCTAACGATAACATTTGTTTTATTACAGCTCGTTGATTTTATCATTCCGTTTGTCTGCTGAAGAACAGTGCCCCTTATTAGTCTATGCCACTTTTCTAGGTCAATACTGACGTTAAGAGCTTCCTATAAATGTTATTTATGCGCTGGTATTCTCCGCTTGATCGTCATCGTCTTCCTCTTCGCACCGTCGTCGTATTTTCCAGTGATCTCTTGACTGAAAGAAAAACGATACCAGTTTCGTATGCAAAATGAAAATAAAACTCTTCAGTTTGATATACAATCCTAAATATACAAACTTAACCCCTCCCCACCCCTCCATTTTCAAAATCAGAATTTATATGCCTTACACTTCACTAAATAGCTTGTGAATTGAAATTGGACAACATCGTTTTTTATCTGAAGCATTCCTGTGGTTAATGCACTAAAACTCCACCAACGCCACAGAAATGCCGTCAAGTTTTCCAGCTTCCGCTATCATAACCATAAAATATGACATTACAGAAAAGACATCACACCAAACTAGTTTCTTCCAGGAAATTGGCTGTCCTTCGGAGCTAGAATAAAATTCGGACACAGAAATGGATCGTTTTGCAATGTTCTTTAAATGGATCAAATAAGAATGATAAAGACAGTCAGACAGCAGCCATTGGTAGGTCTACAGACATGACGCTAGACACACCATTCTAGTCAGCTGTAATCGATCATTATGTCCCGTATTTCCGAGTCACTTCGCACTTCCGCTCCAAGACCGTCGTTTACGCGTCTCAGGGTTTTCACCTTATATTGAGTTTTCCTATTGTAATTTTCCCCCAGACTTTGTCGAAGCGTTTTTTCCAGAAATATATTCCTTTGTTGTTGTTTGAGTATTGACTATGAATATAAATCTCTTCTCCAAGAAAAGTTGCTTTCCGAAGAAGTCAACTTCCAACGCAAACATATTTACACATTTCTTTGTTTCAAATGGTTTCAGTGTGTATGTGGGATTATATTGACACCCTCCCGACACCTCGGGTTTTTATCATCAAATAAAACTTTCGAATGAATGGTTTCCAAATCAGACATATGGGAGTAGACAGAACGTTAGAATTATATTTTTTCTGTCAAGCGTTTAAGACAATTGCTCAAGATATGCAGTGATCAACTTCACGAAGATTAATTTCTCAGATAGTTTGTTAAAGCAATTTCATTGTACTTTCTTCAAGTGAAAGGAAGGAAATACAAACGTCGTTTCGCCTCGACGGCCATGCCAAAATAAATGTTTGGTAATGAGTTATTGTTCGTAAAAATAACATTGTATATGTATAGAAACAACATTTCATCCGTTACAGCCATATAATACGTTTGAAATCAACAAAATCATTAGTGTAATTTGTCTGTTGGACCAGCATCAGCTGAAATACAACGAAAAGTGTATAAATGTAAATTAAAATGCATAATACATTCTAATGCAGTTAGTAAGTGACATAAATAAAAATAACATTGATAAACGTGCAATCTTATTTAGTTATCAGTGTTGTTTATTGAAAATAAACATAATTACGAAAGACAGTTATTCGTCTTAGGATATAAAGGCTGATTAAAAAATAGAGTGAAATATTTCGTCACGGCTCCCACAGGAAGGTATTCTCTCTAGAATCGATGTTTGTTTAAAATAAAGATAATTATTTAGGTGGGGATTGTCTAATTAGCACGTGCCTAAAGTTCTTCTTAATGAACTAAAACTCAATCGTCGACCAATTAGCAAAACGAACGTCATAAACCGGCACCCTGAGAGTTAATTAATTTTCACAACCTTTACTAAAGATATTTAGAATTTGCAAAGATGAACTTATGTTTGGTTTATGGACTCCTTAACATTCCAATGGTTACATATTTTTGTATTATTATCCGTATGAGCTTTATGGTGAACAGTCATGCAGTAAATTGTGCATACTTGGAATGTTCAGTGTACAGATGGATTATAGACAAGTAGATACATTCATATATTAAAGGGGATATAGTAGCTAGGGGGATCTAAATTTGTGTGTGAGGAGGATGGATAGAGCGATATATATATAGAGAGAGACGGAGAGAGAGAAAGAGAGAGAGAGAGAGAGTGGAGGATGAAGAGAGTGGAGGGAGAGGAGGATGGGGAGAGAGAGAGAGAGAGAGAGAGAGAGAGAGAGAGAGAGAGAGAGAGAGAGAGAGAGAGAGAGAGAGAGAGAGAGAGAGAGAGAGAGAGAGAGAGAGAGAGAGAGAGAGAGAGAGAGAGAGAGAGAGTGGAGGATGAAGAGAGTGGAGAGAGAGAGTGAGGGAGAGAGAGAGAGAGAGAGAGAGAGAGAGAGAGAGAGAGAGAGAGAGAGAGAGAGAGAGAGAGAGAGAGAGAGAGAGAGAGAGAGAGAGAGAGAGAGAGAGAGAGAGAGTGGAGGATGAAGAGAGTGGAGAGTGGAGGGAGAGGAGGATGGGGAGAGAGAGAGGAAGAGAGAGAGTGTGGAGGATGAAGAGAGTGGAGAGTGGAGGGAGAGGAGGATGGGGAGAGAGAGAGAGAGAAAAAGAAAGAGAGTGGAGGACGAAGAGAGTGGAGGGAGAGAGAAAGAGGGAGATATATATATATATAGAGAGAGAGAGAGAGAGAGAGAGTGAGTGAGAGAGAGAGGGATAGAGAGAGAGAGAGAGAGAGAGAGAGAGAGAGATAGAGAGAGAGAGAGAGATAGAGAGAGAGAGAGAGAGAGAGAGAGAGGAGGATGAAGAGTGGAGGGAGAGGAGGATGGGGAGAGAGAGAGAGAAAAAGAAAGAGAGTGGAGGACGAAGAGAGTGGAGAGTGGAGGGAGAGAGAAAGAGGGATATATATATAGAGAGAGAGAGAGGGGGGAGAGGTTTTTATTGTCGTAGGACCATATAAGTAATGGCTACGAACTCCGTACTTCCGCCATAGACTTTCGCGTGCTCTCTATATCATTTGTTTTGCCTTTTTGCTAATCAAATTCTATTTTAACACTAAATCAAATATACAGGAGCGACATACTGGTTACCATTGATTATTGCTTTTCGAGTCATCTGTGCGTTACATACATTGATTTGCATCATCGTAACTCTTCCTCGCCAGAAGATATCGATAGAACGCTGTGTAAACATCCCTGTGAAGAATTTGATGTAACTCCGATACAGAACCATTAATTAAAATTGACTGCCACTTTGCTTGATTCTTTCTCTGTCGTATTTTGTTCCATTTCCGGTGTGCTAGCTTCTGTCGCACTGACAAGATATCAAAATTTGAGATTTGATATGAGAATTAAATGTGTTCTAGATTTATTGTTATTGTGCACCACATCATCTCAACATTATAACTCCCTAAGCATAACTACACAAAACAGAAAAAATGAACGTTCATTACAAAAACAACGCCGGCATGTTGGCAGAATATAAGTATATAAGTATAATGAAAATAAGAACAAAAGAAATCTTTTACATGAAGACTTCTGAAAACAATTGAATAAGAGCAAGTGTTCCAGAAGGATATGCGTTTTTCGATTCATCAACGACACCCACCATGCAGTGCCACGTTTCCTAATGAGGGCAAGGTATTCAACAAAACCACAAGGCAAAGGCGCAAGGTTAAAGAACATCCAACACGCCAGCTTCGTGTCGCACACGGAAATAGAATATTTCTCAATACAATCATTGTGACAATCGGAAAACCTATACTCGTTTTCAACCTGCATCTTTTAAAATCACTGCGTTGTGGTACTGGGATAAGAAACACTAAAATATCGAATCAACTGCGACATGTAAACATCTTAAGTTGGGGATCCGTCACGTGCCGGAACATAGTTCTTAGTGTGTGATGTTCGAAAGGTCTTGTAACGCTAACAAATAAATTTCGACAGAGTGAAGAAAGGAGAACATTGCGATGCCGTACCAATTCACTCTCGATAGATATGAAAACGCTCAGAAATCTGATGAAGCAATATGTCTTTATTGTTTCACTAAATATCATTAATCCAGTGACGAAGAAGTACCACTAAGGTCATGTCGAGGTCAGGCAAGTCTTACCATCTCGTGCACAGGAGACATTTTTTGGCACATGGCATCCAATTGAACAGAAACAGAAAAAGAATCAATCTGACTTTGGGTACTCCATGTAAACCCAAAATGGTGCCGTATTACTTTTGGAATGTCTTGAGTTCAAGTTTAGGTGCCCCGCAGATTAAATCTCACGTGTGTACTTACTCAGTAAATGATGTAAAAGTGCGAAAGTTAATCTTATTTAGAGACCCGGTTTCAAGTAATCACGGCGTTCATTTTCATTGCTTAGAATCAATTTGTAGAATTGAATTATATTCACGAGTACCAGTCACGTGTTAGATACCGCCCTCTTTTCACTGTCAGAGTACACAGTTGAGTAAGCAATCTTACTTTTGTTTAAATTACGCTACACACGCACGGCTACCACGGTGTGGCCCGATTTGTTACTCAGTGTGAATGTGGAAAGATGGAACGGCCATGTAGCTAACGTAATATCTCAATGGTTGTTATATAACTGGCACTCATTTTGGTTACAGAATATCTGTCTTGATTAGCTTGTCCACCCAATCTAGAGCAAATGTTTGACAGCTTGTCTGCTACTGTACTATGGTACTTGGGTTTGGGAAGGTTTTGTCCACTCGGCGGATACGTTGTCCATTCGTCTGTGTGTCATTGTTTTCGTTCCACCGAATCATTGCATGTAACATTCAGCCATGAACGGTTCAATCTGATGACTGATTTCGGTAAATTTACAAACTACTAATAAGCGAGTGTTATAATAATTGAAACATCGAGGTCAAGTAGATTTTTTCGCCCGGTATTATATTGTCCATACTAACATTGATGGTAACTGTTTGGCTCCTAAGCAGCCGTTCGGATACATTTGTGAAAATACTTTATACTGCATAAACAGTTACTATAGATAGATTTGATCACCTAACTGTTTGCAACGATAACTTAAATATCAACTGTTTATTTTCAATTGTAATTAAACTAGAAGACCATATCAGTATTTTCCTTGAGCAAGATGTCATTGATAGGACGCCTGTTTTAATTCAAACAAGTTTTATTTCAATTCGATAGAATTTGAAGATCGTGATAATATTTACAGGTCACAAAACACTGACGTGACTTTAACTTTCACATAAGCTAAAACTATTGTTATGTCCTTGAAATCCAAATGTGAAAATCCATAGGTCGTACCGCTGG